TTATAGTGGAAGATGTCGATGTTATCATTATAAAGTTACATAATTGTCTTTCTAAACGTTTAAACAGCGGACTGCCTTTCTCGTACGTGCTTCTATATTAGTGTTTCGTTATTCATTCCTATATAGGAATCCTATGTTGTGAGCAACTCTTATAAAATATAATATAGCAATTCGTGAGGACAAAAATTATTTGTGACTTTGATAATGATTATCTGCATTTTCTGATTAACTAGAAAGTATGTTTGTTGTTTAATTTGATACGTTCAAGTATAGTTTAAATTTTTTCTATTAAATATTGTAAGGGTAAGAAATAAGATAGTCATATTGCAATTTATGTATTAATTGATCCTGCGAACAAATAATTTTTCTGCGTCTTTTATGATGCATCCAATATCTGCTTTTTGAACGATGGCTTACCGTTGAATACTTGTATTTTATATTCATAATAATCGATGTTTTGAGAATTTTAGAATATTTTTACTTAGCAGTCGTTTGATTAAATATTACGTGGTTATAATAAGTATAAATAAACATCAGTAAAAACGTATATATCTAATTCTAACTAGTCTATAAACTAGTATTTGAAGATGCCAACTGTTAGTGGTAAATGATTTGCAGTAGGTGTTATGCACGGTACAATAGTGCTACAAGGGCTATTTTTTTTTATTATGTTTGAACGAGGGGAAACGGTAATAGTATTATTTCACTCTTAATTACATAAAATTTAAGTTGACTATATTTGTATAGAGATAGAGAACTTATTTTATCTACTGGAATGGGCGTTGCTTGTCGAATAATAGTGTCCATAAAATCACTAACGTACTAAATAGGTCTTACTTCAAATATAAATTTACATAAATTGATAATTTTTTTAGTTAATTTTTTGTAGTAAACTTTGAAAACAAAAAACACAAACACCGCTCATTTTTTATACACAGCAACGTTTCGTCGACCGAAATGACGACCTCTTCAGGCTTTATTAACAAATTCAATAGAAAATCAGTACAAACCAACGAATAATAGACATATAGTGTAAGCGATATGAATCAGAGCGCAAGGCAGTGCAGGTATCGAGTTGTTGAGTTAACATGTGTGCGTTAGGTATTAATCATGCTGTGTGTTTTACCCATATATTTTTGTTTTGTTAGTTTAATGATTAAAGTATTGTATTTATGGTGTTGGTAAAATGTTTTCCAGTAACATGCAGTGAATATAGTAGTGATAATGTTTATTAATACTGTAGGATAGTGGTTTGGCATTACCGAAGACAAGGTAAAGGAAGAGAAGCGGAGCGATATAATTAAATTTTTATTGCTGATTTCCTCGTAGACTTTCTTGGCTTTAGATCAAATTTTTCAAAGTTTTTCTGTGAATCAAATATAATGTTACCAATGTATAGTTATTGGATTCACGAGTAAATTATTTTATTAAATATATATATGTATACTAGTGGGGTTCCACCCCCCTGCGCGCTCCGCGCACTAACCCCCCTTTTATTGAGTTGTAAGTGTAATTTTTTCAAAATAAGGTTTGTATTAATATTTTTTAAAGC